TTGGAAGTGTTTACAGGAGTGGATATTTTTCCACACAAATGAGTGCCATTTCTTGCACGTAAGCCTGTAAAGCAGTTAGGTGATTCAACATAAAAGTCACGTTAATTGATGACCCAGCGCTCACTGTTTCACTCGAATCACTAGCTCACCCCACCGGCAAGCAGACACCTCCCTATCGCTCATCCATCACTACTACCCCATTGCTTTCCTATTACCACTGCCATGGTCGCTGTTCCCGTGAACTTTCCTCGTTGATGCATCCAACCCATGTTGGAGGATGAGCCTGTTCAGTTTCATCCATCACACTGCGTTCACTCACCGCGGTGCAGGTCACAAACACTTCTCCTCTCTCTCTCTCTCGGCGTCTTCCCTTGCACTGTTCCACTTTGGAATTCCCTCCCATCATCTCTTTCCCCCGCCTCCCCCAAGCCTTTATAATTTTTATCTATTTCAACTTTTCATGGTGCTCTTTGTGAGCGGCCACTTGACACGTTGGGCCTTTGAACCTGTGCTGAGCCACTGTGTAAGACACAATAACAACAAGTGCATACGTATGAGCACACGCTGAGAGGGCATACAATATTATTGTACGCTTTGTTATGGGTTAGTCTATGGTTTAATCCCAGGATATACTTGCCTATCCATCTCTATAACAGAATTAAAGAGCACATCTGGAATTCTCCGAGACTGAAGAAAACGCAGCGTGTTTAGACCTTCTGTTATCGTCATATAAACACTCACGCATCGCTCCCTGGGGTGACACTAGATGAGAGGGAGAGATTCCTGTGGGAAAATCAAACAACGTGGGTGATTGTAGCCATCGGTGACACTGTAGAGAAGTTTCGTGAAGGGTACAACTCGTTCCTAAAAGCGTGCCATCTCTTGATACGTGCCAGCTGTTGCACATGAATGCACTGTACACCTGTATTTGATAAATACATGCTCCAACCAAGCCAGGGGAACTATAGAAGAAGAAAAAAAACCTCAACATGGCCCTGTTTTGCTCAAATGTAAGATTTGACACGCACGCTCTCGATCAGTGAAGACAATTATGGTGCCTTTGATGAATCAACCACACGCGTGGTTGATTCATCGCCGGGTATTGTCTGAGCACAGACACACTTGGCCTGCGTGATGCAAGCGTCAAATATCTCGGCCAAGCGTTATCAAAGTTGACCGTGTTGACTTTGCTGGCTTGCAGAGCGCGTCCAGGAACGTAAACACAGCTCTTATGACTCAGATAAAGCCGTGCAAACGGCTCGCTTGTTCCACGGCTCGAATGGTGGAGGTCAGCTTTTAGGGTACATGGCATGTGCTAACCAGCCATGCAGTCCTGCGGTTGATGTGGGCCAATTTTCGCTCAACACGTGCCACTTGCTGGCATTGATTGCCAAGTCCCCTTTACCCACACACACACACATACAAAAGACAAAGATCCCCTTGTAGCCTGAACAGACTTCGAGGGCAAGTGCTTATTTGGCGAGCACCTATGACGGCTGGCACGGCACACGAGGGGGTGGGTAGCAAGCATCACGCCCAATTCGCCTTTGTCTCCCCAGTGGCGATGTTTACACACTTGCACCAGGTAGTCATTTAAGGCTGAGTCGACCTAGGGGAGGCCGAGGAGCGGGTTCATAGTGCAGCATGCTAATTCGCGACACGACCGCCTTACTGACACGTTTACCCACACACACATACAGCGAGGCCCACTACACCTAGACAATGTTCCTTTGACATTCGCAGAGGGATACGTTCCGGAGATTCGCGTGAACGGAAAATGTTGCGGATAATGATATTGGCTTACGAAAACGTATATTTTTAATGAATCACATTAAATTAACACGTAAGTAAGCTATTTAATGAATGACGAGTATAATGACACGTCTCTGTATGTCATCAATTTATCTCGTCACTTTATCTCATCACTTTCTTTCTCTCTCTCGGTGCAGTTGTGTAGAGTTGCTGATGCGATTCGCGGATAGCTAAGCCCGCGGATAGCAAGTTCGCGAATAACGAGGGAACGTTGTACAGTACGTACTATGCTGCTGGTGGCTTCTGCTATAGGGGCCATCCATTTAGTACGTACGCATGGAGGGGGGAGGGGAGGTATACCCAAATGCATAGGCTTGCGTATGGGGGTCGAATGACAATGTACGTATGCATAGGAAATGGGGGGGGGGGGGGAGGGTGAAGCCTCGATAATAATTTGTCTACATTGGCCTTCAAATTAGTTAGATAGTCCGGCGGTGGACTATCCGTTTGCTTAAACACGTTTATATTATTAATCAGAGGTGTGGACTCGAGTCATGTGACTTGGACTCGAGTCAGACTCGAGTCATGAATTTGATGACTTAGGTGTGGACTCGAGTCATGTGACTTGGACTCGAGTCAGACTCGAGTCATAAATTTGATGACTTCAGACTCGACTTGGACTTGCATAACAATGACTTTGTCCCACCTCTGAGGTGTGGACTCGAGTCATGTGACTTGGACTCGAGTCAGACTCGAGTCATGAATTTGATGACTTCAGACTCGACTTGGACTTGCATAACAATGACTTTGTCCCACCTCTGTTATTAATCCTTGATCGTTTCTGCGTGGATTAAGACAGATTTTTGCTTACGTACTAAATGGATGGCCCCATACTTTCTCTAGCTCACTGGGTACATTCGGCGCAAGCTATAGCACTGAACCGATATTCCTTGGCCGCACGAGGCATCAGCAAACTAGGTAGAAGTTTAGGGCTCGATGACGATAATGGAGTGCGCCAAATTCATGACTTAGATAGGTGTGCACGGGACTATTACCTCAATTCAGATGCGAATAAACATAACTTTTTCCACCATTATAGAAACCAAGGCCGTAGCCATGGAGTCAACATTGGGGGGGACCAAATCTTCCAGGGGGTCTGGGGGTCTCCCCCAGAAGAAAAAAAAAATCTAAATTTGAAAATTTCCTGTCATTTTCTGCCTAAAATATAAAAAAAGTAATTAACACATGGGATGGACTTTTTCATTATTTTTACAATAATGTCTAATAGTGTATTGTATTACATTGCTCCGTTTTTTCTTTTTTATCTTTTCCTGTTTCATTGTATGTAATGGCAGAGATTGGGGATTTATAAAGTACAACCATAACCACAATCATATAAACAGAAATGTATTTTATAGAAATATATTGGGGGGGACATTTGAGCATATTTGAATTACGGCCTTGATAGAAACAATATTATAATAAATTCCGTATATTTACTGAATGCTATTACCTTCATTGTTTCACACTAAACTCAACAATCTTTTATTTTACCAGTTCAGGCCCACTGAGATATAGCACTTTTTTGCAGAAGCGACCTGGCCACAAATGAAGTGGCTTATCACGTGGAAATTTATAGCAGCCAAATACTCTCAATTAATGTTTCTAAATGTGTATGGAAAATAAACCAGAGGACCCGGATAAAAATCCACGTGACCACGGGGAGAACGTGCAAACTCCAATTATACAGGAGTCAGGGTTGGGATCGATCCCACGACCCCCTGTATACCTGGCGAGGTAGTTAACATCTCGCCACCAGCGTATTATTATTATTGTAGTCGCGTGACATGCTCCAAAAGAATACCTGCTCAGGGCGCTCAATGGGATGGTGCTACCGCTGTTGCAAATATAACTTACAAATATACCTACTCTGAGCCACGTAGCAATTACAATGTTTTGATGTTCTGCAGTAAACATTGTGTTACTTTATTAAAGGAAATATTTTTTTTTGCCAGCAGTAATGTCTTGCAATTTTAAAGTGAAATTAAATGCCGTACATTGATGCTTCCATATGGTGTTCATGTGTTTCATTTCCTGAAAGAAGAGTGTATATTAATGTCTCTATGTTGTGCAATGTGTTATTGATGTTTCTTTTTTGTTTAAGAAGTTTCAGAATATTTGTGTTTAGTTTAGGATCTGTCACCATGTGTTAAGGCAAGACTTTGTTGTGGTTTAGCAGCTTAGATGAAAAAAACACACGTGAATGTACAAACAATTCCATTATACAGCAATGTGGCAGCGCATTGTGGCCCACATCAGAGGCTATGACCAAGTGTTTAAAGATTTTATAATAACACAGAAAATTTAATGTACATTATGAAAACTCTTTTTTTATACTCTTCCCTTTGTCATGAAAAAAAAGTGTCCATTTAAACATAAATGATGATATTGAAACGTCTTTTAATTCACCACGAGCTTTCCCTCGTCATGGGGAGGCAGTGGCCCAGCGGTTGGTGAACGTCGTTATGGACGCAGTGATCCTCGTCCAATTACCAGCTGGTCATCGCTAATGTCAGTGGCAATTTGTTATATCTGAACCTTTCCAGGGCTCCCCTATTTCATCCTACATTGGCCAGCATAATCAAGTAAAAAAACAACCCGTGACTGTCACAGCGTGGGGAGGCTGCCTTCATCCAGAAGTGGATTGTCTCAAGGGAGTGTAAATTATTATTTTGGTTTTCATAGTCAGATCTGAAAATGAACCTAATTATAACACTGATTAATCACACAGTCGCAGACTACGTGTACATGTTTTTCTCATGTCGTTCTTATGTGCTGGACTAGTCTTGAGGCTGAGCAATGAGCAATGACCCCATCTGAGAGTAAATTGCATTTGATTGGGTGGTAGAACAAACTAATCAAACATATGCAAAATTCCAATGCATGACCTCAACATCTCTTGAGATTTAGTGAGGTTTTCCTGGCTAAATGAAAGACATCATTATCATCATCAGCAGCGTCATCAGGCACGATAAATCCACAGCTGAGTGAAAATCATCCCAAGCTATCACCAATTATCATTATTATACAGAATCATTGTCTCGACAAAGAATTTCCCTGCAGCCTTGTGAGTATTGTCTCTCGTCATATTTTTAAGTCTGCTACATCAACTCAAGGTGCTCGGTGGTCGATGCGGTCGGTAAGTTAAATGTTGACATTTTCCCTGTGCTCTGCGTGCTCTTCCGCAGCTGGATGACTGTGCCCTGCAGCTTTCGCACAATGGCACATACCTGGATCTGGATTCCACGCTGGGCGAGCAGCGCGACGAACTGGAGGGCTTCTTTGAGGACAGCGGGTGCGTGTCCTATCCATCGGCAGATGCACCGCATGAAAGGACTGAAAGAATACAGAAATTGGCCAAAAAGTCACTTCTTGCATGGAGCAGCTGTTGATGCAGTTGACTGGTATACGTTAAAGGAGTGGAGAATGACAACCAGCGTTGGTGGCCGTTTAACACATATATATCTCTGTTGATTCTGATTCTAAAGATATTTTTGTTATTGTTGTTGTGTTCATCGGTTATATACAAAGTGATAACAGTTTTTTTTTGCATTGCTGGAATCTCTCGAATAGCTGAGCGGCAGTCTTGTAAGTGGAATTACACAGTTATGGGAGCAGTTAGATCGCAGGTAAAAGTGCAAAGCTCTGGCTCATGCCAATGCTGGCAGAAGAGCCTCCACTCTCAGAAGCTCCTGAAAGAGTAGTTTCGCCTACGCTTCCATGTTAGCAGCAGATTTTTTTTCACGATATCGTGAAATGATCTATCTTGCACAACCACAGGACTTCTCTCTTGGACTACTGTATACAGATGAGTGGGTGTTTCGTAGTGCCAAGCAGCCGAAAGTCCTGCATGCAAACATTATCCACAAAGCTGAGCCAAACCAAATGAAAGGCAAACCCACATTTTGTGTGCCTGTGTTTTTAAAGTGCAGCCTTAGTGACCAGTTTGAGACCACTGTATTCAACAGCATCCTTGAATTCTTGTATTTTTTTTCTTTAAAGAGACACGTGAAGGTTTATTTGGTGATGAATATCGCAGTGTTTGATTTTACTCGGTTGAATGATGTGGTTATTTAATTCATGCGTTGTGTTAATATAAATAGGTGTACACTAACAGCAACTGCATCTATTTTCTACAAGACCAGATCCTAGTCGTCAACTGTTTCTGTAACGCTCACTGAACGTGTATTCTATATTTCAAATGAACGTAATTACATATAATTTTTTTTTTACTTTTATTAATTTAAATTTAATTTTTACCTACGTGACTTTACCGAAAAAACCTAAGAGTATTACATATCATGGTTGGGGCTGTGTGTGTCATTGGACATATATTTTAATGCCTGACTGAATTATCGATGAATTTGGCACTTGCTATTCTGACTATTTATCTCTCAGCTTCTCTGCCCAAGGGCAGGTCCATTGCTAAAGCTCTCCCAATAACCATCTGACCCCATGTCCCCCTTCAACTCACATCACCACACTCCATACCATAGTTTTTGAGCCACAACACCACACTCAGCTCTAGGGTCCTACAGCAACAACACCATACTCAGCACCAGCGTTTTTTATGGAGCCCTAGCAATTTGTAGAGCAAATTACGTTTTTTTCGTGGCTTAATTGACTCAAAGACTAATTTTTTCCAAATTGTTATTAAGTAACACATAACATGCAATGCTGGCTTGCTATGTAATTGCTTGTTTGTGTGTATGTATGCGTGGGTAGCAGATGGCTGTGGATAATGCACTCCAGTGATTGTTTTGGGCTTAGCTATGGGGTGAGGTTCCAGACATAATTTAAACGTCCCTGCCCAGTAAGCCTCGTTACGCATGTGTCAGAGGTGGCTTGTGACACATTGCAACCCGCCCGTGATCCAAAACAGCTTAGAAGCACACAAGGCAATCGTTTTTGAGTGTCACATTTCGGAGTTGTGTATGTTGCATATACAAGGCATTGGCTACAATTATAATCTGAATCATTATAGAGTATTATGCACGGTACCATTATATATGCATAGAAATAGAAAACCTTTCCCAGTTACTAAAAACTATTTTTTATTTTACCGGGTAAAGCTTACTGATCTCTTGCTCTTTTTCAGAAGCGGCTAGGCCACAACTGATAGCTCAAAAAAGTGGTTTATCACCACGTCGAAATGTAAAGCAGCCAAATACTCTAAACGCACATTTATCTAATTGCGGAGGGGAAAACTGAAGGACCCGGAGAAAAATCCACGTTACCACGGGGAGAACATGCAAACTCCAAATATACAGACGTCAGGGTTGGGTTCGAACCCACACCCTCCTCCATAGCAGGCGATAGCGATAACATCTCGCCTCCGCAGCACCATCAACAAGTTCGGCTTGTCCATGTAGTTGGTTGCCCTCTAAATTGTCCATCATTCTGTTTCCATGATCTTGGACATATTGGAGAGAGGTCTGTGATTAAATCCCTTGACATTTATAAAGTATTTCGATTTAAAGCTTTCGTGACTGCAGGGAATAATACAATAATTATTAGTCACGTAGCAGGGAAATAATAAAATAATAAAATAAAACATAAAAAGACGCTGCCTTTCCGACAGACCTGTTCTTCACCTGAGAACGGCTGCTTGCGTTGTGGCCGAAACGTCGTGAGAATTATTTTATTATGTTTTAATTTTATTATTTTATTACTTCCCTTCTACGTGACTTTACCGAAAGAACCAAGAAGATTTGTAAAGTATTTGATTGTGGATGGTATTGCACAAGACAAGCTGCCATCATCTGGTGTCCACTCTAATCTGCAGGCGTCGAATTCCTTTTAGCTTCTCAAACTGAAAGGTCAACGCATGCATTATCTCTTGTGTTCTTAAAGTATCTATTTTGTCTCCAACACGATTTGTTCTCTTTGTTAATGACTTATGATCTTTCACCCACAATGCGATCCACTCCTTTTGCAGATGACAGTCGACTTCATACCTCATACCCATTTAAATGACAAGCTCAAAGTAGTGTGCATTTTGTCTGCCTAATCCACAGATACTTTAATGTCAATCACCACCAATGGCCTAAAAACAGTCCTTTAGATGGTGACTGCTTACGATACCACTCACCTCTTATGTAAGCCATGGCTGGAATTAGAACTCAGATCCCCAGGTTTATTGCACCCCTACGATCAGTGTGGTTAAAATAACCCTACTGACCAAAAGGCACGGGGTGGCCTTTATCAATCAGTAATTTGATATAAGGTTGTAAAATCTTATAATTATCATTTTACTTTAAGCGTTCAGTTGGAGCACATACCACTATGGCCCTCTCTGCGCTAAGGTTGTGTGTGTCCCGTGCACAGATTGCACATCACAGATATAGATTACATTTTTCAATGTTTCAAAATTCCAGGTGTGACCCTATTGTAGTTAATTGTAATATAATGCTCCGCAGTAAATATGTCTACTGCTTTCTATTCTCCGCACCTGATGTGAGTAATTTAAAGAATACGTGGCGGTTACATGCGGAAGCTGAACTCTTAGTACGCAACTCTTGTATAAATGTCCACACACACAGTTAAATGTACCATAGATATGCGGTCTACGATATGTGTGCAGTCCATCAACGCGAGTGGTGAAACAATGCATTGATTCTCTAATTAATATCGGTTTTTTAAGCTCGTGATACATGCATTGAAGCACACGCTTAAGAATCTGATGCATTTCGATTCGTCTGTATGTTTTAGACGGAGTGGTGGCAAAGCAATTTGTGCAATGTGCTAACGAACCTTGGCTGGCTAACACCAGCGGCACGCAACGTCTAGACCAGTCCTAGGCCTCCCCTTCATCACCAACTCGCACTCATCAGCACATTGAAGTACGGTCTAAAAAACAATGGCCCACACAGCACGGGAAGCCCTTCATCCAGCAGTGGATTAATAAATAGCCGTAAATAATGTAATATATATTGTATGCAATGGGTTCGCATCAACTATGAATCCCCAAACGTCCACTGAAATACAACCCTCAATCCTGACGATTTATCAAATCGCAGGAGGGCGAGGTGAGAATTATTCGCAGACCTAACTAATTTCTGTCACACACTGCGGCATATTCCATTCTCTGTCAGACACTTCCAGACATCCGGACAGATTACTAGTTTTCTTGGTCTGTCGGGCTTGAATGCAGGTCAGCAAGCAAGTCTGGATTAGAGGACGATTTAGCCCCATTGTGAATGTTCACTTGTGGTCTTCAGCATCTGCTATATACCCACCACACCTTTGAAAGCAGTTTTTGGAGTGATTAATTCATTAATTTTCTCTCTTTGGTGTCAAGACATGTTTGAAACTCAGCACTATAGAATGTATATATATGTAAAAACAAACTCTTAATTGAGTTAGACATTTATAAATACAATTCTTATGCTTATTTATTATGTTTATTATTTGATTATTTCCCTTATACGTGACTTTACCGAGAGAACCAAGAATATGAATCCATGCAGTCACGAAAGCTTTAAATCGAAATTTGAGTTAGACATTGCTTGTAGTGGCAAGCCATTATTATTATTCTTTTATACGGTTGATGTAGACGCAGAGCAACAACGAGACAACCTGCGTCAGGATCAGCGGAGTGGTGTATCATCATCATCATCACTGAGATGTCTTCTTCGTATTTGTGGATTGGGACATTGCGTCGTTATACGCTGCACGGTCTGTTCTGGATGCCCACAGTCGCACACAGGAGGGTTTTTAATTTTCCATTTCGGCATCAGGTATTCGCATCTGCCATGGTTTGTGCAGATGCAGATTAGGGTGGACCATGAGCTTCGTGGAAGATCAAACCCAGGGATATTCTGCGTTGCGACGCCACTTATGATGTTTATGCCAGATGATAAAATACCGTTCTGGTGGTTAAACAGATGCCTTGTTAGAATGTTGTGTGCCGAGAACCTTCCACATTGGGGAAGGGAACAGTTCACTGCCAGTACGTGCGCTGATGAATCAGAATGCTCGCACATGCACACATGTATACAGTACTGTGATTATAAAGCAGAATGTTCTCTTACAAGGTTTGCATTTCGCCTACCGATGTAGTTTTACAGCTGGATTAAACAGATCGAATTCAAATAAGAATGTAACTCTACACTGTCTGAATTTAATCGAAAGCTCACCTTTGTGTGGTGGATAATCCTTGGTATCTGCACATGTCTGACACAAGGTGGTGTTTGCATGGGCATAGCAGCAAACATATATGATTGCCACATTTTCGACTATAGACCAAACCCAAACATATTTCTCAGTCAGCCTAGGTCTAACAAAACGGTTCCA